ACAATGAAGATTTTAATGCATTTGTATGTTTAATATTATTTTAAAACCTGCATTAATCATATTGAAATACTCAATTATATTACTTAACCTGTGGAATAAATGAATGCATAACTGACATTGGCTACCATATTTCTGAGTTAAATACAATTAAAGGAGGATAGGTTTATCATATATTAACAGAGATATGTTATTTAGGTTTAACACAATTTCTGATATATTCCTTATTCCTGACAGTAAATATTTTTATAACATGTACATAACATTCCCTTCCTTTTTTATTTGTGAAAATCAGTGCTTGAATGCACAAAAGATGGGTTTAATTGGAGGCACTTTCTTTTATGTAGTTATTTAACAGTTATTTATATAATTAAATTTAACTTTAAAGTTCTAACAATTTCACTAGCTATTGTTAACCAATAATTGTCTCCAATTTTTGTGAGCTTGTGCAATGACTATGTAAGCCTGAGAAATGGTTCTGCTTCTTTAAAAAAACAACAACTGATAAGTAGGGAGATGTGCCCACGCCTCTGCCCACCTTGGACCCAGTTACTGCTCACTTCTAATCACCAGCCCGTGGAATTACACCTTCTGATCATCAGTGCATCTCATGCAAGATAGCCATGAGTTAGTCATGAACTAGGTCTGACCTGATAGCAGTTGGGCCCCTGGATTCTGAACTAGTTGGAGTTTCTGAGAAGTCTTCAAAGACAAACCCCCAAAACATCAGTAATCCAGTAGTGGAATGATGGTGGCACAAGTAATAGTTATGAGAACAACTTGTTCTGTGCACCAGCAGCTGTCCAGTCTATGGCCTCCATCCACTGTTCTAGCAGGATCCGAATGCAAGAGAACTCCATTGTGCTGCTTCACTGAGGAAATGCAATTCCACAAGAAGTAGAAGTAGAATTATATTGGATTCAGGGGACATGAAAGATAAGCAGCCTGTGTTGTCCATCAAAAGCCTAACACCCATCAAGTACCAGATCAAATTTCTTCAGGATTTTCCAGTTTAATTGCAATTGCAATAGTACTTAGACTTATATTCTGCTTCACAGTGCTTTACAGCCATCTCTAAGCAGTTTATAGAATCAGCACATTTCCCCAACAATCTGGGCCCTCATTTTACCATCCTCGGAAGGATGGAAAACTGAGTCAATCTTGAGATTTGAACTACCAAATTTCTGGCAGCTGGCAGTCAGCAGAAATAGTCATAGTGCATTCTAACCACTGTGCCACCACGGCTCTATTAATACTTCAGTATGAATTTTTAAATTGTAGGGTGAAAGTAGAGTTCAGTACATATCAATCAATATCATAGCTAGAAAGTCTATCTTCCTCCCCCGCTTTTGATTTTTAAATTTGCGTATCTCCCTTGCAATTGTCACCTGATATTTTTTTCCTATTGCCCTAGGTTAATTCATTACAACTCTTTCAACCAGGAAGAAGCAAGAATTTTTCTAATAGATTTGGGTGAGATGGGAAATCTTTTAATGAGTATTCATGATACTTTACAGTTGTTTGGGGATTTTCTTTCTTTCTTTTCTTCTGGGCATTATGAACATGGAGAAATTGGGAATATTTTCCTTCAGCTTTAATATCCCTTAACTAGGAGACCCTGTAAGAGGAGAACCATGATGGGATGAAGAGTATAAAGTTCCTTGTGGTGCTTTGTGTGGGATTGATATGCTTCCGTATGTGGTTGTTGTAGAGTCTTGTGTGATATTTATCATGTAAGTTGCCAAGTTTGAATGATGTGTGAACTTTGTTGAATTGGCATGGAAATTGGCCATGGTCATGACCAGCTGTGCTGAATTTCAACTGGAAAAAATCAGATTGGAGAAGGCTGATTAAGATAGCACGGATAAAATGGAGACCTCATATGATCCTATACCCTTTTGCCCATGGTAAATCTTGCTGAATATTGTGTTGTGCAGCTGCATAAGTGCAGCATTACTGCCTCACCAGTTTAGAAATAGCTTGCACTGGGATAAGGTGCAGGGCAAAAATGCTTTGAGTCACACCAATTACTGCATTATTATTGCTCTCTATTTCTTCTGTCTCTGATCTCTCCTTTTCCACCTCCTGAGCTCACCCTGACAACAGCTTGATTAGTGTATGTGTTTGTGTATAAAATACTCCTTTCTCAAAGCATTGCATTTAATGAAGTGAACTCTGATCTTGTGAAGACTTTACATAGTATAGTAGTAAAATGTTTAGACTTTAACATGCTTCTCCCTCCCCAGAGTGTTTATTGTCTCAATAACACATTGTGAATTAGGCTGTAATTCATGATCCTTTAGACATGGTCCTTAGGTTCTTAGGATTGTATGTGAGAGACATGTAAGATTGGGCTTTTATGCGTCGGCAGTTGGAAATCCTTAATCCTTAAATAGGGATGCTGCCCTTTAGATGAATCAATGGCCAGCTTTTTTGCCTGTGCTCAGTCAGCGATTAATTGTTGACTTCTCCCTGGTGTGTATAATATCATTTATAAATGGCACTAACATGAATATTTATTTAGTCTTGCCTTCATGATGTACAGTATATGAATGGATTTCCAAAGCAACTTCCTTCTAATCAGCTGCCTTCCTCAGTTGCTATGGCCAATGGGTTGTGGAGGCCAATACCTTGATAGGGCATGAATGTAGAAATAGGCGGAAAATACAGGTAGTCCTCAACTTCCAACCACAACTGAGCCCCAAATTTATGTTGCTAAGTGAGAAATTTGTTAGTGAATTTTGCCCCATTTTATAACTTTGCTTGCCCCATCTGTTAAGTGGATCACTGTAGTTGTTAAATTAGTAACATGCTTGTCAAGTTAATCTAAACATGCTTCCCCATTGACTTCCCCATAAAAGTTCATTGTATTTCTATGCAGTTCACTGTATAATTGAAACAGAGAGCTTTGGGTAGCACAACTTTCTAATTCAAGTATGTTTGTTTCAGATTGTTTGTTGGTGGCCTAGTAATTTAAATGGAAATGGCAGCAGTTTAAATAAACACTCGGATCTTTTGAATTGTCTTAGGTGAGATTTAAGAGGGGAGAAGGAATTGCACCATTACAATGCCTTTTTCCCTAAGGCATTTAAGCATTTAAACAAATTATAACTTCTCTTTTCAAAAAAGTATGGGTAATTTTACTTCATTAAGAAAAATAGTTTTCATAAATACTGGGGGTTTTGTTTCTATTTGTACTGAGGCTTTTCTACTAAAAATCAAAACAAAAAGGGTTGCTACAGTATCCTTAGGTTGCAATTTTATGCCTAACTCTTGGCAGTGGTAAATAAACATGGTTAGGATTGTGATATATAATGCTTTTGATTCAGTTGCGCCCTTTCTAAAGGATTTTGTGTGAAGAAGCTATGTTTGGCAAAAGTAATTTTTTTCTCTTTGAACATTGTGCTGGTGCTTTGTTTATTACTTTTGTCTAAGAAAACAAGGCATTGTTGAATTCTTTAGGCACAATGCCCTTGCTGATTATGTTAGGCTGCTCACAAAAGTCCTCTGTAAGTTTTTTTTTAAAAATCTTCTTTGAGGTTCTGATATGTCCACATGAACTCACCAGCACTTTCTACATTCCCAGGGACAGCCACAGGGAATATGAATGTGAGGATGTCAAACCAGGTAGCAAATACTAGATGGAACAATTAAGATGAGGAAAAGTTAGGGAGAAATGCACGAGTGCTGCATTGTGGACTATTTCAGAAGCAAGTTTTTAGACTTTTTGCATATGGGGAAATGTGTCATGGAGAGGAGGTGTGGAGTCTGGACCATCTTGACTGATTCATATCCTCAACTTATTGAATATTCATAAATTGAATGTGCACAGGGGTTTCTTCATGTGCCACGGTTCACAAATGTAGCCCAGCATGAAAACTTCAGGTATCCCAAGTGCGGTTCTGATCAAACGCCACTTGTATAAAACCATCAATGTACCTTTTGCATTTTAAGTGTATTAAGATATTCCTGGTGGGTGACTACATAATTAAGTGAGTGCAAATGCAAGAAAGAAGGGGTCAGGTCTATTCTGCAGTTTGGAAGCAGCTGAATTCCTGTCACACTACAGGAAACTTGCATTTTGTTTGTGCTCCCCGCAAATGGATTTTTCCCAAAGCGTCAAAGGAGCCACGAGCAAGGCTCTGTTGCCAGCTGTGTTCTGATGCTGAAACGTGAAAGAGCCCAGAGACACCGTGTGCCAGTGCTGAAGCGAGGGGAACATAGACAAAAGTGTCAAGGCTTGAAATTTGCATTCCCGGGCGAAGAAAGCAGCAGAGGCAAGCTTCGATAAGAGGCTTCCTGAAAAGCTAAGAGAAGGTGGTGGTTGTTATTTTGAATTTTGTTTTGTTTTGCTTGTTTTGCACGTCTGAAACCTTGGGAGGTTGGCTTGGCTTCCTTAACCATTTAGCTCTCTGAGCGGCGATGGGTTAAGTCAAGTCAAGTTTGGCCATAATGCGATGGGAAACACGGACAATCGGAGCCTTCAGCGGCTCGGCCCTTTCCCCCAGGATATTTGTTCGTCTGTCTGGGGCTCATTGCCATGCAAAGGGGCTGACATCAGAGCACCTTTTGTTGCTTAAAAGCTTTCTCCCGGAGAGCGAGCGAGCCCGATCTAGGAGTCATGTGGAGTTGGGAGAGTCCATGTCGGGAAAAGGGCAGAGAACCAGAGTGATTCCACCGACCAGTTGAAAGCTTAACGCCTTCCCAATTTTACCTGGCAGGACCTGGCTACGCTTGTTTGGTCCAGACCTCTTTTTGCCCTCGCCGGAAAAAAGGGAAGGGACCCTCCGGGTTTTCCCCCCACACCTCCTGAAGGCTGGAGAGGGTCCACCCCCCTCCACAGAAAGAAGATGGTTCGCGCCTCGTTCGGCTCTGCCAGCCTGTTGCTTGGCCGCGGCAAGTAGGCAAAGTTTGTGCGGGATATGGAGGCGCTCTGGCTCGCCGAGGAGAGCTGAGCTAAGCCCGAGTCCGGCGGCGGCGGCGGCGGCGGCCTCCCGCCTTCTTCCCTTGCCTCCCCGGGGAGGGAGAGCCAGGCAAAGGACGCGGCGGCGGCATGCTGGAGAGGCTGGCCAGAAAGATAACCGGCTAGGAAGGCTGGAGCAGCAGCGGCGGCGGCGGCCGGGCGAGAGGTTGGAGGCTTGCGGGGGTTGGCCCTCGGCCGGCGCCAGGCTCCCCTCTGCGGGGCTCCCGTGTTGAGCCGCGCTGGCTGAGAGGCAGCGGGCGATGGAGGAGGAAGAGGAGCAAGCCTCGGCTGCCGAGACCCAGGAGGGGGCCAGCGCCAGCACCGGCGGCGTCCCCGAAAGTTTCGCCAGGCTCTGGACGGATGTCATGGGGATCTTGGTGAGCGGCTGCTCTACGGAGACGGGAAAGGTGACTGGGGTGGTGCGCTGGGGAAGTGCGGGTAGGGGTGTGGGCTTTGGCATCCTTTTTTCGAAAGGGGACTTTGGGGAATAAAAATTGGACAAGTCCAAAGAGTCGCCTTGCTGGCGCAAGGGGATGGTGGGGCGTTTCTTGGATCGGGCGCACTGGGAAGGAGGAGTGCGTGCGTGTGTGTGTGTGTGTGTGTGTGTGTAGCACCGATAGACTAAAAGCAGCACCTCTTGCTTTGCACGCCGACGCTGCCATCCTTGGTCCCGGCTTGGCTTGCGCAACCCGCCCAGGAGAGTGTCGGGCGGGGTAGGAAATGCTGGCGGTTTGGTTTGGTTTGGTTTTGGGTTCCCGAATCCCTCCCTTTTCTTGTGCTTGCAGAGGAAGGGACAGTTTGGGGTGGGTTTTCAATGGAGGGGCTGAACGCGCGCACGTTTCCACCTTTGCGCCAGCATTAAAAAAAAAAGCAAAGTGTGTGTTTGGCATTGGGGTGGGTGGGTGGGATGTTCACAGAGTGATTCATCGGGTCTCCGTAAAGCTCTTGATTACGGAGTACGAGGGAAGCTCAACGTGTTGCTTTCATGTTGCCGATCTCTTTCCTCCCTCCCTCCCCTGAGGTTCAATAATTCAATAGCTGCGGTGGATCTAAAATGTTTAGCTACACTATGCATGCCCTGATTTTAATTAGTTTAAGCGTTATAGCCACACCAGATGCAAAGTAGGGGGAGAACTGACTGATGGAACACCTAACTCTTCGACTTCTAACCACTGAATGGCAAGCTAAGATCAGAGAATAAGTTGTTGTTGGCTTTTGAACACAAATGATATGTTTTTGTTCTAAAGCACAATCAGGTTTCTTTTCTTGCACAGTGCCCATTGTTTACTTTTGTGACACCCACCGCTCTGAATTATCAGCAATGTTATCAGCAAGCGATTGGAAGCTACCAACTCCCAGTTTATTTATTTCAAAATATTTTAACTCAAGGCAACCATCAGGAGTCAAGCCTGATTTGAGACCCCCCCTGATGTTTGGAAATAAATTGAAATAAATAAGTTTTTTGAAATAAGTTTTGAAATAAACTGTTCTTTAAAATAAAACCTTTTCTCAACTCTTTTCTTTTTCTGAATTTCTTTAGGTAAATTGGGAGGCGAGGAAAGAGAATCAGCAAAGTATTAGTATATTAGAATCTGGCAGTGTGTTTTTTCTTTTAAAATACATTGTTTGATATGTTTAAATATGCCTGTGGCATGGAAGGCAGCAAGAGATGCAATAGCCTGCAGGCTTATCACTTTATGTGATGCTTATCTAGAAATATCAATTAGTTGCATAGTTATTAATAACTTTAAGAGCTAGTTTCAAAAAGCAATATGTATTATTAATTGTCTTCTCTCCTTCCTTATCCTTTGATATCAGAAAAGTAGCAAGTGAAAGTAGAGTTTCCTTCAATGTATTTTTGGCACATTTCAATAATGCATTGAATGGAAGGTAATGTGCAGGTGAGTGAAACTGAGTGAGACAAACTTTAAACTAGGTATATGAAGACGGTTAATGTATCAAGTAAAGTCTGATAAATTTGTAGTACAGTTGCTGCAGTGAAATTGCGACCTATAGCTGGGAATTCAGGTTGAATAATCAGTGGTGTGGATGGTTCTAGGGTCACAATGAAGGAATAACTGAGTATCCAGGCTGAAATATTTTTAACTTGAGAAATGAATGGATGCAGTGGTCTTTATGACTACATACGTAAGAGCTTCCAGGCTGACAAAAAGAATGCAGCAACAGTCCCTCTGTTGCTATCCCCCACATGATGTAACAGGTTATTTTACCTCTCTGTCTTCAGAGACACAGGCGATGACAAATAACCATGTAGGATGAATGACCCCAGGGGATAATATGGATGGACTAGCCTGCAGGTCAGGAGTGCACACTCTTTCTCAGCCAGGTGTTGTATGGCATGGCAAGGGCTATCCTTCAAAGTTGATGGAACCAACATTCAATTTGGGGAGGAGGCATTAAGGGGTGGAATGAGCCTTCAGCTCTACAAGGTTTAAGGCAATAATTTTGTCATCAAAAAACCCCAAACCCCTGAAAAAGCAAATGAAAAGGATCTTGCTCAGAGCCCACGAAAGGGGTGTGTGTGTGCTTGTGTGTCACATGTACCCCTGCAGTTATGACATCTAGACATGTAGTCTAGAAACCAAGATTTTCCTTGTCTAATGTAAACAAGTCAATTGTTGATGGTAGACTGTTGGCATTATTTGAACAAATCAGTGTTTCAGACATCAAAAACAACCATTTATTTCATAGGCAGACTGGTTCTTGGAAAAACAAAGGTAGTTTTCAATAGACTTGTATATATTTAATTATGTTTGAAAACCTTCAGAAATGGCCAAAACTAGGATATTGTTAGTATTATATTGTTGTGCTCTTATTGATAGTATCATTTTCTGCTTCAGGATGTTTGTGACTGTGGAAATTTATATGTAGTCTTTATTTCTGAAAATGTAACATCTGAGAATAAAATGTTGGTTTTTTTTATCAATGGCAATTTGGCCTGTTCAGATTCCTTGCGAGACAGAAGCCAAAGTAAACTGCACATATACTCTGGAGTTATGGAATAAGAATCTTAATTGTATAGCTTGTGGTGTTAAATAATCAGATTCTTGAAGCCATACATTAAAAAAAAATCTTATCTCTACAGGAAGTCACTACCAATAAACAAAAATGGGTTGGGGATTTCAGAAATCAGAATTGCAGGAAAAAATGTTTATACTATTGTTTTTTTAGGAAATGATATCATGCTCTCACTCCAATCTGAATAATGTGTTCCTGCCTTGAAATATTTATTATCAGAATAGCTCACTGGCCATATACTTTATTTACTGGTTTCCTTGGAATTTCATAAGAGTAAATTTATCTCATGACATGTTTCACAAGTTTTTTTATTTAAATAAAATCCTACTAAACTGGATTGTTAGTGGGTCAGATTCTGTCACAACTGGCTTTTCTTCTTTTCAATAATTATTTTTATTGTGTAATAATAATAATTGGTCGATTATTCCATTGTGCTGATGAAAGGAGAACTCACACCATAGTTATGATGTGCACTTATCAGAGTTGATTGGAAAAATGGCTCTAATGCCACTCCTACAACAACTAACAAATACTTCAGGAAATAATTGTATTTGCTGAACTGGAAATGACTATCCTGCCATGTTACTTGTTCTTTCTAATTAACCTTAGGAAACGCTATTCACTGCACTACAATCTTAGCATATAAGAGCGGCTTTCCTAGTTCTTAATTAGGGCAACAGTATTCATTGGGTTCAAAAAAAACCTTTCTCCATAGTGTTACACTAATTACAGTTTGGAGTTGTGTGTGTATATGTCCACATGTAGACAATAAAAAGTAGGTAGGTACTTTGTTTTTTAATACTGTAACTGTTTAGCACTGATGAAGAAAATGTTACTTTGTCCACAATCTCAGAAATGTATATAGAAAAAATATATAATAATGTCTGGTTTAATTAAAAATATTAAATTTTTAGTTTTTAAAAAGTAACTATTATGTAATCTAACAGAATTCAATAAAATATGGAGGTTCATATACTATTTTGTCACTTTTGGTTATTTGAAAGAAGTCTAGTAATTTCAGGAGGGAACAATATATTTATTTTTCCTTTTTTATTATTTTCCTGGAAAAAAAAACCCTTTTCATTAAACACTGGAACAGGATCAAACCATATAGAAGTATTAGACCAAAAAAAATCCCTTTAGCTGTTAAATATTTACAAATTTGCCCAACCATTATAAAAAGATATTTAAAATAAAATATTTATATTTGAGCATCTGGAAGTACATAATTTTTTAAAAATCTGCAAATTTTATATTTTTCCAAATTTTATTTTAAAATTTGAAATTTTGTTTTGCAGAATGAGGTGTTTGGTTATATTATTTTATGTTGTGAATATATTAACCAACGAAAAGTACATTTAAATATATGTTGAAGATTGCTAACTATTTAACCGCAGTTCATCAGTGTAAAGATGAATTACATACATCAGTTTACCTTTTCATTCAAAAGTTTAGCCTTGCTAGTCAAACCTTTTCAATTAACAGAATCTTTCAGTAGTAGAAAGTTAAACATGCCGGTATATCTAAGAGATACTATAGATTCTATTCAGACCATCACAATAAAACAAGTCTCACAATAAAACTAGTTACATGAATTTTTCGGTTTGCTAATAAATACCAAATTTCTGTTTATACTTATACTGTAGTCTTTGAAATATGAAAAAGCATTATGTCTAAAAAAAACAATGTATGTACCTCAGTTAAAATACTTTATTGCAAAAAATGCTGTTCATCTTCTGAGCATGCAGCAAGTGCTGGTGGAAGGTCTTGTAAAAAAATGCAATAACTATGAAGTGCAATAAAACACAGTATGCCTGTACATCTTTCTTCACATACTGTATGAATATGTATTTAGTATTTAAGTACACTTGTTTACAGAATCAGAATAAAAATCAAGTGAGTACAGCAGGTGCAAACATTTGAATGCTCAGTCAACACTTTGTAATACTTCCTTTGGCAGAAATAACAGCTCCAACTGGTTCTAGAGTTGGCCAAGACTTTATTTTGTTTTTGGAATTTTCACTGTCTTCCTCGCAAAAGCCTCTTTCACTTCTGTAGGTTGGAGTTCTCTCCACCAATTTTCAATAAAAAGTATGTCCAAGGTGTCAGGGTTCCAAGTAATAGATCGATTGCAAGCAAAACTCCGAGGAAGGTAGATTCCTCAAGGAATAGCTTTATTGGAAATATCATACTGGCACATATCTGGTGAAAACTGACTCTGAAGGGTCCCTTGGTTTTCACCCAATTAAAAGTGAAAGTTCCCCCCCCCCCAATCCCAACAATTAGTCACATGGCCCAATCAAGGCAGCACCCGCTGATCTGGTGATATCACTCCTTC